AGTGTGTGACCCAGGAGAGGTGAAGTTGAAACTGCTTGATCAGATCAGATTGTGCCTCCCTCTCTCTCTCTCTCTCTCTCTCTCTATTTTTTTTACAGGGAAGGCATTCTTTCTGAAAGGAGCAGGATGGCGCCAGCCGGCTCAGTGCTCACAGACAGCTGTGGCGAGACACAACTTAAGGAGGTTCCACTGTCATCAGCACACACGGAGGAGGAGCCTGATGACTGGGGAAAGGAGGGGACAGGAGGAAACTGCAATCTAAACTCTCTCCTCTACCACCCCCCCCACTCCCCCCTGCCCAAATCAGTCTCTCCACCTCCTGACCGGAAAGTATTTGAAAGAATAGTGGAAAAAACGGAGAAAGAGTTAACAGTTGGGTTTGTTTTTTAAGGAGGAGCTGGTGCTGGTGGACTTGCTCTTTAAATAGAAGTGGTGCGGATGGGACGGGCCAAGCTGCACCAGTTTCTCTTTCTGATGATCCCCCCTCCTTTCATCCCTATGCAAGCAGAGTCCCGGCCACAAGCTCTTGTTTCTTCTGATTATTTTTATCGTCTTTCTTCTTCTTCTTCCCAGCCCGGGGGACAGATGATCCCGCCTGGGAGGGAGAATAATACACATGAAAATATTTTATTATTTTCCCTCCCAGGCGGGATCATCTCTTCCCCGCGAGCTGCGAAGGGTCTGCGGAGCCTGAAGGGGACCCGCAGCCGGGAGGGCAGGGGGTGTCCGCCGGGCAGGTGAAGCGGAGCGGCTGCAGGGCCCAAGTCCTGACCCGGCAGCCCGAGGCGACGGGGCAGGACGGGTCCGCAGGCAGACGGGAGGTGCCCGCCCGGCTCCCTTCCCTCCGCCCCGCGCCCTGCAGCTCCGAGCCAAAAGCGTCCCGAGCCAGGGGACGGAGCCGGGTTTAGTTTCGCATCGAAATCAAAACAGGGCTCGGGAGAACCGAAACACGGGTCAGTCCCGGGGGAAAGGCAGGAGCTCCCGTGCACCCGGGAGGGGGAGGCAGGAGCCCGGGGACCTGGGCGAGGACCTGAGCATGTTCACTTCCAGAGCATGCAATATCTATCTATCTATTTATCTATCTATGCACACCAAGTATACGCATACATAGCATATACACACACTCTATGCACACGATAGATAGATAGATAGATAGATAGATTTCATAGACATGAGGGCTGGAAGGGACCTCGGAAGATCATCGAGTTCAGCCCCTGTATGTATGTATGTGTTTGTATATAAATAAATAAATAAATATTATATATATATATATATATATGTATGTATGTGTGTATGTATGTATGTATGTATATGTATACACCCCCCATATAGGCGCACACTATATGTATCGCTGTATGCATGTGTGTATGTCTGTATGTATGTCTATGCACACTACCTATATACACGCACACCATATAGACACACGCTCCGTATATCTATGTATGTGTCTCTCCATGCACACCATATATATATACGGACACACCATATAGACACACGCTCTCTCTATCCATCTAGGGATATATGCACATCGTATACGTGCGTACACACTATGCACACCCACACACATCTTTCTGCACACCATTATATATCGGTATATCTTCACACACACTCCCCCCCCCAATCCCCCCCCCCCACACACACACACACACACACATACACACACACTTGGGTGCAGGAGACCCGCCGGGCCGGGACGCGCGTGGGATGCAGCGGCGCTTTCCACCAATCAGGAAGGAGCAGGG